GCTTGGCGGGTATTTTTGGGTCTGGGGGGCGGCGACATCTTGGTAATCTTGGACCAGTCTTGGACCACTTGCACCACTCGCTGACCAAGATTGCAAGATTTTTTTCCGCGGCCCTCACGAACCAGGGGCCAAGATGATCAGGAGAACGCATAATCTTCCCGNNCCCCCCCCCCCCCCCAGCAAGATGACCAGGATGACGCGTCATTTTGCCTCCCCCCCGCCTGAAGAATGACCAAGACTGAGGTAATCTTGCCCGGCTTGACGGTTCCGGTTTTCCGGCACACTGTACTACTACTCGTAACCAATAATCACTACGTTCATTATTGTTCTCATATGTTCTTATCATTTTTCTTTTCTCTCGATCCGGCAGCCTAGTCGCCAGACTGCGTCCATGGCAGTGTCTGCCACCGGATCCAAACACTCCCGAATCCGGCAGCTGCAGGCAACGGCTTCCGCAAGCTTCGAAATCGAGTGGAACCAGTTTCGCAAATCGTATCGGGCTCCTTTTCGGACCTTTGGGGCTTCTCGCCACCAGTGAATCCTTCAAGGCTTTCTGATGCTTGTGCTTGTGGCAACCAATGACTCGTCGTAAACAGTCACTTGCGGTTGGGCTTTTCTGCAAGCACTCACTCCTTTCGGGGTTTGGAGTTTCGGAACCATCCCTGCGAACGACCACCCGCTGTGTGGAAAGCAACGACCAGCTTGGAGCTACGTCCAACTTAGTCCCATGAGTGTCGACAAACGCTTTGTCCAGAATCACCGGTCTGGGTGGCTTAGCGTATCCCTCTTGACCTTCGGCTGATCTGATTGGTAGCTGCACGCATCTTTTTGAGACATCTTGCCCGCACCCCGTCCGGCCCATTGATTCAGAACATACGGGGTTTAGCTTGGAATCCCAACAGGTCGGCTGACATAGGGCAGAAGCCTTCACGATATCATGTTTTAGTGCACTGCCACGAACAGGTTTAGCTGATCGCAGGGTTGGCACTAGTGCGTTGTTGAGGTGGCACTGGTCTCTGGATTTGCTTTTGCTGGCTGGCGGTCTTGCAGCAAATCCAGAAGGCCAGCTCCCAGGAGCGCCTCTCATGAAACATGCAGTCGGCTGTGAACATGGCGAGCTGGCCAAGGAAACAACTCCACGCCGGCACTCACCTTCCGAAGGTCCTCAATGCAATGGAACCATCAGATGCGATCAGCCGATCAGCTCGACACCATGTGGTCTAGTGAAAAGCTGCGCCAGGCGGCGGCATATGGCAGAGCAGACTCTCGCCATACCGACCCGAGAAGGTACACTCTGTCGTCGATGGGACAATGGTAATGGCCACTGCAGACATTTTATTTCGATGCTGCTGGTGATGTTGCAATTACGACGGCGAGATGATGACGACCAAGAGGACAATGATGCTTGTGTCGATAATGGCGGCAAGGGTATTGAAAGCAGCTGCGAGTATTCTGAGGAGGAGCATGAGACAGAAGAAGCCGATTGTGATTGTTGCCATGGTCGGAAGTACGGTGATGAGGATGATGGTGATGCTGTTACCATCATCATGATCATAAACCATCAGCATCACCATCAACATCATCGTTCTTGTCGCCACCACCATCTTCATAACCGGCGGCATCATCATCGTCACAGTCATCAGCCACGTTCATGTGAGCAGCGTCTTTTCCACGTCTTGACGGAAGATTAGAGCTGGGCACACATTTTTCACTCGATCTGGAAATCGCTCTGGGACTGTGCGCGCGGAAGGACGCGGAAGGGCGGCGGAAGGCGTTGCTCCACGGAAGGGCGCGGAAGCAACAAATACGTAAGCCCGCGCCAGCTAATGTCCTGTACTCTTCGGGTTCCAGATCTTCTTCAGGAATCGCCAGGCTTTCCCAGAAAGCAAATTAGTGCAATATGTTTACAGGGGTTTATGCTCATGCGGAATTGTCCGTTTTTGCAAACCGGTCCGCGGAAGGGCACGCGGAAGGGAAGACATGCAGTGTCTCAGAAATGGTCAACGCGTCGAAGCGCGGAAGGCTGCGGAGGCAGTTGCGGAAGGGCTGCTTTGCGTCCTTGGGATTGCAACAGAAGAGCAAAGCACCGCTCATGTGCAGCCAGTTTCTACCGCGCCTGGCATTAAGTACCCAGCTAGCTAAGCGCTGCAGCTTCGCACTTGCTTTGCGCGCAGGGTGAACACGGATGCCGGGCAAGAGGAAGCCGTCTACGATAGGAGAGTGCGGTCAGCATCAACTCAGACGCTTGAATGATAAGAAAAATTACAGATGCTCACACTTTCCGACACAAGCAGGAAGCTGGGCAAAGGGATTCCTTCTGCTGCTCCGGACGGCTTCTTCGATGGGCCTCCAGACTGGTCCCGTTCCAAGCGTGTTGGCAATACAATGATCATTGAAAGTTGAGTCGGCGACGGGAAGCTAGTTACAGGTAGTTACAAGTAGTTCGATTAGGAGTACTTTTGAGAACAGGTTGCGGCCTCCAAACGGACATACCGCAGACGCGAACTCGCAGGATGAATGATGAGGAAGAAGGCACGTCGAGTCCGAGCAGGCCGTCGGGACAGACACATCTCGACGTTTGGAGCGCACTTCAAGTACAAAGGGTTTAATGGCAGGTCCCACACTGCCAAGGAGAACATCTTCACCCGCAGCGAGGACAAGGCTTTCCTGAACTGTGCCTGGCGGTCGACTGTAAACCGCCATGTGATGGCTGCTTCGAATGCTCCGTCACTGCAAGGCACGCTCAACACAGTCCAGTCCTATGCGAAAGGGCAGGCAGTGGTGCGTGAGTTTTTGCTTTGACAGGACGTGCTGTACGACATTGTACGACCGTGCAAACGAGCATCGCTTCGCCATGACAGCGTGAGAGACACACCCAGAGCTCCCGGCACCGGTCCGCTCCTCTCAAAAGGGCACAGCGGGTCACAGCCGCACTCATCCGCACTCGGCATCTCCAGAGCCCAAACTCTCCCCCGGATTGCGCGACGGCTCTGCTCCCTCCTCCCTCCCAAAAGCGCACGCCGCAAAGCGTCGACTTGGAGGAACTGGGAGGCATAGGCATTCCGAATCATTCCGACATTCCTTCGTTCCACGCAAGAAAACCTCAAGAAGGCGCAGAGCGCTGAAGAGGAGAGTCTTTCGGGAAATGAACATGCACCAGCGGGACGACGCATAATCATGACAAAAGCATAGGCTGTAAGGAACCGCTACGCACAAGAAAAAATGGTTGGATGCTTTCAGAACCGTTCCTCCAACCGTGACTCAGTCTGAGTCATTGTCATCCATAACACAGACAATGCTGAGCGTCTCTTACTCTTGGTGCTGGCGCGTCGGGCATTAATACCCCTTAGTGGCCCGAAGTCTTTAGTTTTTGTCAGCTTGAAGTGGCGCGATGCTTTAGTCGAAATCACGCCACAACGGCGTGCTCGGGCGGTCGGCCAGAAACGAAATCATAAGGAAGAGGTTGGAAGTTGGAAGCGCTGGAAACGCTTCCATCCCCGGCACCCGCAGTGAAAGCTTCCAAGTGCCAGACACAGACGGGCATGCGCAAAATCATTCTGCTTTGACAAAGAGCTTGGTGGAGGCTTGGAGGAACAGCATGTGCAGAATGGTGAGAATTACTAGATGGGGGAGATTCGATGCCAGCAAAATGTTGCGGTTTTGCGTGTGATCAAGCTGTCCAGCGTGTCTTTTGGCAGCACGAGTAGATGCTGAAACAGGATGCCGAACTGGAAGACTCGGTTACGACTAAATTTGCGAAATTTGCGACGTGTTTTCCGTCATGACTACACTAACAAGCAGCAAGTATATTATAGTGGGAGCGGGTTGGGGTGTTAGGTGTTTGATTGGGCGTGCGGCGTGCATTAATGCTTCGGCCACATCGAAATGATGACACGCATGGAGGTTTATCCCAGCAGAGGCTGGCAAAGATGAGAGCGACGAACATGAAGAGCTCTGCACCGAGCACATGTAGAGATTGGAAGGGTTTGAGTCAAAGCCGCGAGCTTCTTAAGGAGTCCCAGAGCGACCCCGACTTCGCCGTCGGGGCCATGGCCCTGGAGAAAGCTTCTTCGGTGATCTCCCGGAATTATCCGCCTGATCAGTAGTCAAACGAGTCAACGTGCCAGAAAGACATAGAAAGACTAGAACAGAACTGAAGCACACTACTGGGTCCTTGTTGGATACAATTTCGCATTTTTGTTATAATAATACCCAACAGCGATTAAACATGATCATGTTTGACATAGCCCCAACAGGGAAGCAGACTAGGGGGTGCAATACAGCATTGGAGTGCCAACGCAATAGTATGTTTCTAAGCAAATGGATATGTGCATGACATTGCCTCACATCCTGACTTACAGGACTTTGCCTCCTGGCTATGCAGCAGCTGCCCGACGCAACCGTCGGACAGGCGCCGCGTGTGTTTTGCATGCACGAAATTTCATGTTGATCGTAAGGGCAGTTGAATGGTCTGCAGATGCTCGCAGTCCTCGGGATATAACAGGCAAAGAGGCACCGGACGTGGGCAGCTTTGCAACCGCGTGAAGCTGATCTGTCTTCGAGAGAGACGAGAAGCCGTCACATGAATTCCTTGCAGTACAGTAACCAAACTCACCTTGGACGTTTCATGATGTTCACTCAGGACAGCCAACAGGTCCCGGGTCAGGCATGGCTGTCGTGATTTGCCAAGACTCGTTTCCCGGCAGTTGTGCCTCGTATCAGGCGAATGCCTCACCACGTCAAAGTGCCGTGCCCAGAAAAATTAGGTGCACCTGCCACTGGTCTCAGAAGATTTGTCGAGCGGATCTCAGACACATCAGGCCAGTCCAAGAGCAAAGCGTCGCAACCTGGCAAGGCGGGAACACAGGGAACGATCGACGTCATGTCTCGGCAGAATCTCGCTTTGGCTTCTGTCTTATTCTGGAGTGAACAAGGTGCTGCAGGTCAAATCCAGGTTTGTGATCACCAACAAACGGTGAAGTGAGATGATGTGTTTTCATTTCGGGGTCCGCAGGGTGTGACCAGACCACCATCAACATCAACAGGAACAGGAACAATAGCAAAAGCAAGAACAAGGGCAATAACAACAACAACAACAACAAC